TCACCTCTTGCCCTTTCACGTGGAAGCTTTTTTACAAAGTCCTTAAGGTGACCAACATTTTTTCTTCTTCTTATATCAAATTATCAATATCATGTTATATATATAAAATACAAATCGTGAAGTTTGACACTTATCCAGGCACGCAGAGAAGCAATCGATGTGATAAAGGATGTTCTAACGAGGAGGAAAGAGTCGAAAGAGAAGCATGGAGACTTTGTAGACACGATGCTGGAAGATTTGGAGAAAGAAAACACTATTTTTGACCAAGGATCGGCTATAAGCCTCATTTTCAGTATACTAGTCGTGGCTAAAGAAGGTGTTCCTAATATCACTTCCATAGCTGTGAAATTCTTATCTCAAAACCCAAAAGCCCTTGCAGAGCTGAAGGTAATCTATATCATATGGATTAGTTATCATTAAGAAGTATATAGATCGAATAATTGGTATATAACAAAGTTCTCGCTTATAATGTGGTTTAGAGAGAGCACAAGGCGATCCTACGGAACAGAAAAGATAAAGGTGGAGTTAGTTGGGAGGAATACAGACACAGTATGAGTTTCACTAACATGGTAATAAATAGCAAACTAAAAACAAAAGTTACGGTCATTTACAAATATTTTCTTTTTTTTGGTTTTTAAAGTGATTTACACATAATTTAAATGATCCAAGCTAAACTAGATTACACATTGTAGGTTATCAGTGAGTCACTTCGGCTGGCAAACTTGAGTCCTGTGATGTTTAGAAAAGCGTTGAGGGATGTCGAGATCAAAGGCAAGAATATTAGTCATGTTGCAGTGTACATCTACGTATATTTACTTTAAACTACTAAACTTTGGGGAACATTAGTAAACAGGATACACAATTCCAGCGGGCTGGATAGTGGCGGTTGTGCCTGCAATGGTTCATTTTGATGAAGCAACATATGAGAACCCTTTGGAGTTTAATCCATGGAGATGGGAGGTTTGTACTTACTCTCTATTTTCAACCCCCTTTGGTCTCCACTTCTGTAATTAATAGAATTTTCGTTCGTTGGTAGGGAAAAGAAATGATTTGGGGATCTAAAACATTTATGGTGTTTGGAGGTGGAGTGAGATTGTGTGTAGGCGCAGAGTTTGCAAGACTTCACATCGCATTATTCCTGCATCATCTTGTCACCACTTACGATTTCTCGTTGGTCCAAGATTGCGAGTTGATACGAACACCATTCCTTCACTTTACCAAAGGCCTCCTTTTAAACATCTCAGAGTCTTCCAAGTGAGGACTATAGTTTTCAAAATATTAAATAATCAGATCATAATATTATGTAACGTAACAATAATCTTCTAATTTCCTGCCTCAGACTCAGAGGAATGTGTGTGTGAGTCTTTAAACATCTTTTTATAAAACGCTTTAAAGCTTTTGATCATTTTAGCAAAGCATTTATTTATGATCCACAATGGTGGCCACGTTGAAAATGTGCTGACCAATAAGGATTTTCGCTTTCTTTTTAAGAGATATTTTAATTCCTACAAAAAAAAGAAAGAAGAAGAGATCTTTTAATTAGTTTTAATAAATTTTAATTCAATATAGATTATTTCGTTTTTTTTATGATATATATTTTAGTGTATTAGATTTGGATTCACACGTACGTGTAGAGATATTTGTATAGAAATTGTTATATAGATTTTAAAAATATAAAATAATTTGTTGTGTTAGTGAACTTTATAATAGTACAAATATTATAAAATTAGAGTAATAAACGAAATTCAGTTGCGTTAGTGCATAGTTATATTTTAAGATCTGGACCTACACGTACGTGCGCAATTATATTTAAGATAAAACTAAGATATAATTTAGTTGCAAAAGTTAAATGATGTTACTTTTTTTATTTTCTAAACTAATCAAAACATTTATAATATTTTGATTACATGTGTTAAATATGATATAGATTCGGTTTGAGTTTGGTTATTTCATGTATATTAGCTAGACGTAACTATTTTAGAATGGGAAACATATCCCGTCCTATATTTGTCATAAATTCTTGGTCCCATAACCCGTTTTGTATACGTGAAATAAAAATATGACAGTCCAGTATCCGGCATAAATAAAATATATGTAACTGAAAACGTACGTACATGGTTATGTATGTAAACAAATTTATTTTATATAGTGCTCATAACCTGAACTCATACCAATTGCGTATATAGTTTGATCTTTAATTTATGTTTCCCTCTCAATCACGTCTCGTAATTCCTATTCTCATGTCATTCCATTTAAAT